ATTTAATCCTGCAGTGCAATTTAATTCTTATCAATTTATTCGTGAATCAACACACGCACACACAGTACTCGCGCACGAACCTAGATTGTTCAAGGTTGTGATTTGAATTAAAAACTTTTTGATAAATTAGACACATGTGCAACACTTCAGTATCTTTATTGAGGAAGCGTCAGTCCATAGGAGAGTGGAGAAGAACAGGAGGAGTTTGAGGTAACCAGTCCCTTAGTCTTGAGTCGATGTAATCAGTCCATCAATCTTGAAAAGAATGATGGACTGATTACATCGACTCCAGGCTGAGGGACCGATTACCTCAAACTCTTCCTGTTCTTCACCATTCTCCTTTGTATGGACTGATGAAGCCACTGTGTGGCGAAACGTTTCCTCATTAAAGATACTCAAGTGTTGCACATGTGCCTAATTTATCAACTTGTCGGTTCTCTGACCCATTCATATAATAACTTTTTATTTATTGTTATAATAATAATAATATAATAATAATAATAATAATAATAATAATAATAATAATAATAATAAATAATAATAATAATAATAATAATAATAATAATAATAATAAATAATAATTATAATAATTATTTTAGTGTTATAATAATAATAATAATAATAATAATAATAATAATAATAATAATAATAATAATAATAATAATAATAATAATAATATAATATAAAATTAATTATTATTATTATTATTATTATTATCATTGTTACTGTAATTATTCTTATTTAAAGTGGCAAATTTGTAGGATTCAGCATATTTTACACGTGCTGTCCCTGTTCACCTAGCAGTAAGTAGGTAGCTGGGTGTTAGGTGACCGTTGTGGGTCGCATCCTGGGAGGTGGTAGATAGGGCTGGGCTTTGAAATGAGCTGAGATAGAATAACAGCTCTTAGCCTGTAAAATTTATTTGTATCAAAAACTAAAGAATCAATTATTTCTTGCTCATGAAGACAAGTGCAGTACTACTCTGTCCCGAGTCGAAGAAAAATTTGACGGTAAATACTCTTGCATGTCGAGCGAGTGCTTGGCTCGCTGGATATTTTTTTTTTAATTACCTCGAGTAGTACTGGTGCTCCTTTCTCAGGAAGAGGAGACTGTGGTTCATTATCGCTGAGTAGTTGACTAACGTCACGAAGGTCGGTGGAAGCAGTTGGAATGTAATATTTAAAGCATATCAACTGAAGTACAGCTATTAAAGACGCAATCCACCAAGAGACTAAGATCAGAGAATCTTTAATCTTTAAGACAGTGTATATACACTTCTCTCGTCGTATATACATTAAGTGACGCACATCTTTCATCGTATATACAAACGTTGTTTATATATATTTTATTGACATAAGCAAACTACATTATGTGAGTATTTTAAAATAGATTATGAATCTCCTCCAGCTCTCCAGAAACCAGAAGATGTAGCAAGCATTTCTCTGCTGATTCAACAACCAGAATATGATGCTGATGAGCCTACAACCCAGTTCACTGAAGTAACTTATTGTACGTTTACCCAAGGGTTTAAGGGTCTCCGATCATAGTAGGACAAAGTGATACCGATGGCTAATGTTTTAAAATTTATAGCTCTCATATTCTTTCTTCCCTGTGATCAGCAGCACCACCCTGTTGCCCGACCCTAAAACAAGTATAGGTGTCAGTCTGAGTAGATCCGCACGTACGGTGCAGTCCCACACTAGTTGTCTTTCATTCTTCAGTGGATAAATTGTGATCCCATGATAGCAGTTAGCAGGATTACCGGTATGTTTGATCGGGATTTTATTTAGACGTAGTAAGGCTCCAGTTGATTTTTACTTCGTTGTGCCTTGCATGTCAACCTTTTATGTACCCTAAATATATGTATGTATTAATGCACCCACAAAACAAATGGTTTTAAAGCAAATAATAATACTGCAACTTGCCGGGGATCAAACACGAGATATTTAACCAGCCTTCCGAGATGTTAGATAAATTTCTCGACGCCTTAGTCCATTAGGCCACCATGCAACAAAGGTCAGGTGCCCGCAGGTATATTGGGCATGCCACTCTTGGCTCGAGCACATTTGTGGCTATGGATAGCTTCAGGAACTAATTTCATTCTACTTGCGTAGAATGGGATACCAATCTTCCAAGCAGTCAATATTATATATATATATATATATTATATATATATATATAATATATATATATATATATATATATATAATAATATTTATATATATATAATATTTGTAAGTTTCCAGCCTGTCTCTAGCGCACAAAAATCTTTGTGCCTGGAGTTTGTCATCTCTGGTAAACATTATTATTGTCTCGCTCTTACAAGAGATAAAGGATTTTAAACCAAAGTTTTAAGTGCCAGCCTTCAGCGTGATTTCCCAAGGAACAAAGGCTCAGTGGATGAACTTCTTTGAACAAAGGCTTCCTGCGGATGAACATCCGTTGCTAAGAACATCTGACGGTGGGGAACATCTGTTGGTAAGGATGAATATTGCAGTAAATCTTTTGGGCTGACGGCCACATATAATGTCTCTTTACGTCTGATATTTAAATTTTCTAACTGAAGTCTTCAATAAAAACGAAATGAATGTTGTGACAGCTGCTGAGGAAGAGGAACAGAATGATTACAAAGAAAGTGGAGGAGAGAAAAAAGGAGGAAAGGGAGTAAGGAAAAAGAGAAAGAGGTGGAGAAGAAAGAGGAGGAAGCATCTGAGAATGAAGAAGAGGAGTAGGAGGAAAAGGAAAGAGAAATGACAGAATAAAAAAAAAAGGATAATATCATATCAGATAAAACGTTTCACATGAAGATTTATTATATTAAAAATTGTTTTCTATAGTACTCTACTATAATTATCTTGTATAATAACCTACTATAATTATCTTGTATAGTAACCTACTATAATTATCTTGTATAATAACCTACTATAATTATCTTGTATAGTAACCTACTATAATTATCTTGTATAATAACCTACTATAATTATCTTGTATAGTAACCTACTATAATTATCTTGTATAATAACCTACTATAATTATCTTGTATAGTAACCTACTATAATTATCTTGTATAATAACCTACTATAATTATCTTGTATAGTAACCTACTATAATTATCTTGTATAAGTAACCTACTATAATTATCTTGTATAATAACCTACTATAATTATCTTGTATAATAACCTACTATAATTATCTTGTATATAACCTACTATAATTATCTTGTATAATAACCTACTATAATTATCTTGTATAGTAACCTACTATAATTATCTTGTATAATAACCTACTATAATTATCTTGTATAGTAACCTACTATAATTATCTTGTATAATACCTACTATAATTATCTTGTATAATAACCTACTATAATTATCTTGTATAATAACCTACTATAATTATCTTGTATAGTAACCTACTATAATTATCTTGTATAATAACCTACTATAATTATCTTGTATAATAACCTACTATAATTATCTTGTATAATAACCTACTATAATTATCTTGTATAATAACCTACTATAATTATCTTGTATAATAACCTACTATAATTATCTTATATAAAATAAATTCCTCCCCGGTTCAGTATAAGAAAGTAACCTAGAAATACCATATATAATATAAGCCATCGCTTATATTATACCAGAAATCCAGTGTTTTTAATATACTAAACTAAGCATTACTCCCTATTAGACTTGTATTTTTTTTTTTGCCTCGTTGAGGCTCGAACCACCGTACTCCGGAAGAAAGACGAGAGTGTATTTACCTGGTTATATTGCTGGCTAGGTCTAATAGATTTGTAAAACACTAATGCTATAATCTACTTAGTTTCTACGTGGAGTGTACCTAGAGGGTGTTCCGGGGGGTCAACGCCCCCGTGCCCCGGTTCTTGACCAGGTCTCCCGGTGGATCAGGGCCTGATCAACCAGGCTGTTACTGCTGGCCGCACGTAATTCAACGTACGAACCACAGCCCGGCTGATCGGGTACTGACTTCAAGTATCTGTCCAGCTCCCTCTTGAAGGTAGCCAGGGGTCTGTTGGTAATTTTCCTTATGGCTGGTGGGAGGCTGTTGAACAGTCTTGGGCCCCGGACACTTATTGATGGTGCCAGCGGTGATCAGGTAATTTTCAAAATTACGTTGATATTTTGTGAAATAACTGACCCGACTCTGATTCGATCTTGGTATCTAATTTCTACCCCAAATTCTATTTAAACACTGTTTCTAGCACTAATGCAATTTTAATACCTTGCTTCTAGCCTCAAGTTCGATTTTATTACCCTCTTTCGAACCCTTAATTTAATTTTAATACCTTGCTTTTAACATCTCATTTTATGTTTGTATCTTATTTCTAGCCTTTAGTTAAATTTTAATAACCAAAGCTTTATAGTGATTCATGTGTATGTACAGCGATGTGCACTTCGTCATGTACACTTGTATATCGAGTCTGTCAACTTGCTCGATGACAACATAATTAAGAAATGTCGTGTTTCTATGTCGTTCAGGGAATAGTGCCACGAGTTAAGAGAGACTATTAAGAATTTCATGGATGCAGGATGTACACACACACACACACACACACACACACACACACACACACACATTCACACACACACATACACACATACATACATGCACGAACACAGGCACGCATTGTCGGTTGGTCTATTTCAAGAGTGGATATGATCGGGGCGTGGAAGCTAGGAATTGGTAGTCTGTCTAAAGGAATTAAGAGGCGAGACCAGGAGCTTTGAAGTGACCTCTACAAGTACAACTACATAACTATAACTAGGCAAGTACACACTGTGCACTGCTGGCACCCTTTGTAAGAACTTACACTGTTGAACTTCTCAAGGTGTACACCTCACAGGGTGGGGGATCAACACAGTACACAGTCTCGTGTTGTAATCACTGGGACTATCTCAAGGACAGAACTTACATAGGATGACGAGGATTCACTTTTTTTTACCAGGATAATGAAACTCTCTTGTATTTCTGCAAAACATGTTATTTACATATAAAAATAGGGGAGTAGGAGCGGGGTGGACACAGTGGCAGTGACTACGGCAGTGATGAGATGAGCCCAGAGGCGGCGGCCAGCGCAGGTCACAGATGACCCTCCCTGCATCGCTGCCGGATACTCTCCTGGGAAAGACAGGTCTTTGTATTATTGGGTGTTAGGAATAACTGAGATGACTATAGTCGTAGCTGTAACAGTTGACAAGGCTGAGCTGTGTAAGGGAGATCTGAAGCCAATGTCGTAGCTATAACAGTTGACGAGGCTGAGCTGTGTAAAGGAGATCTGAAGCCAATGTCGTAGCTATAACAGTTGACGAGGCTGAGCTGTGTAAGGGAGATCTGAAGCCAATGTCGTAGCTATAACAGTTGACGAGGCTGAGCTGTGTAAAGGAGATCTGAAGCAATGTCGTAGCTATAACAGTTGACGAGGCTGAGCTGTGTAAGGGAGATCTGAAGCCATTGTCGTAGCTATAACAGTTGACGAGGCTGAGCTGTGTAAGGGAGATCTGAAGCCATTGTCGTAGCTATAACAGTTGACGAGGCTGAGCTGTGTAAGGGAGATCTGAAGCCATTGTCGTAGCTATAACAGTTGACGAGGCTGAGCTGTGTAAAGGAGATCTGAAGCCAATGTCGTAGCTATAACAGTTGACGAGGCTGAGCTGTGTAAGGGAGATCTGAAGCCATTGTCGTAGCTATAACAGTTTGAGAGGCTGACTGTGTAAGGGAGATCTGAAGCCAAAGTCGTAGCTATAACAGTTGACGAGGCTGAGCTGTGTAAGGGAGATCTGAAGCCATTGTCGTAGCTATAACAGTTGACGAGGCTGAGCTGTGTAAGGGAGATTGAAGCCAATGTCGTAGCTATAACAGTTGACGAGGCTGAGCTGTGTAAGGGAGATCTGAAGCCATTGTCGTAGCTATAACAGTTGACGAGGCTGAGCTGTGTAAGGGAGATCTGAAGCCAATGTCGTAGCTATAACAGTTGACGAGGCTGAGCTTGTTAAGGAGATCTGAAGCCAATGTCGTAGCTATAACAGTTGACGAGGCTGAGCTGTGTAAGGGAGATCTGAAGCCATTGTCGTAGCTATAACAGTTGAGAGGCTGAGCTTGTGTAAGGGAGATCTGAAGGCCAATGTCGTAGCTATAACAGTTGACGAGGCTGAGCTGTGTAAGGGAGATCTGAAGCATTGTCGTAGCTATAACAGTTGACGAGGCTGAGCTGTGTAAGGGAGATCTGAAGCCAATGTCGTAGCTATAACAGTTGACGAGGCTGAGCTGTGTAAGGGAGATCTGAAGCCAATGTCGTAGCTATAACAGTTGACGAGGCTGAGCTGTGTAAGGGAGATCTGAAGCCAATGTCGTAGCTATAACAGTTGACGAGGCTGAGCTGTGTAAGGGAGATCTGAAGTCACAGTCGTAGCTATAACAGTGTAAATACAAGGCTGAGCTTAAAGATGAGATTAAGTTAGAGTAACTGCCTCTCGAACAATTTATAAGTGACACAAATCTGAAGTGAAAACTGAGACGACGCTATGGTTCGTTTAGTATTATCATCATGTTGTGGAAGTGTTGTCTTGGTCAGCAGGGAGAGGTGCTCTGTTAGAACACCAGGGAGAGGTGCTCTGTTAGAACACCAGGGAGAGGTGCTCTGTTAGATCACCAGGGAGAGGTGCTCTGTTAGAACACCAGGGAGAGGTGCTCTGTTAGAACACCAGGGAGAGGTGCTCTGTTAGAACACCAGGGAGAGGTGCTCTGTTAGAACACCAGGGAGAGGTGCTCTGTTTTGATCACCAGGGAGAGGTGCTCTGTTAGAACACCAGGGAGAAGTGCTCTGTTAGAACACCAGGGAGAGGGTGCTCTGTTAGAACACCAGGGAGAGGTGCTCTGTTAGAACACCAGGGAGAGGTGCTCTGTTAGAACACCAGGGAGAGGTGCTCTGTTAGATCACCCGGGAGAGGTGCTCTGTTAGAACACCAGGGAGAGGTGCTCTGTTAGAACACCAGGGAGAGGTGCTCTGTTAGAACACCAGGGAGAGGTACTCTGTTATAACACCAGGAAGAGATGCTCTGTTAGAACACCAGGAAGAGGTGCTCTGTTAGAACACCAGGGAGAAGTGCTCTGTTAGAACACCAGGGAGAGGTGCTCTGTTAGAACACCAGGGAGAGGTGCTCTGTTAGAACACCAGGGAGAAGTGCTCTGTTAGAACACCAGGGAGAGGTGCTCTGTTAGAACACCAGGGAGAGGTGCTCGGTTAAAATACCAGGGAGAGGTGTTCTGTTAGAACAGCTAGTAAACGTGTTCTGTTAGACCATTTAGAGGCTCTCTGTTAGATCATCCAGAAGAAGTTTTCTGTTAGGCCATCTAGGATAAGCGCTCAGTTAGATCATGTAGAAGTGCTGTGTTAGAGCATCTAGGATTATTCTGTTAGAGCATCTAGAAGTGCTCTATTAGAGCATCTAGAAGCACTCTGTTAAAGCATCCAAGAGAGGTGCTCTGTTTAACTTCGATGAAGGTTAATTCACATTAACATCAGCTAATATCAGATAATATAAAACATTTTATCTATATTATTTTGTGTGTGTAAATATCAAACATAGTGACTTATACCCTTATTATTGAAAACTTTCAAAATGATCTAAATAAACATATTCATAATAACTATTTTGATTATTTCATGCATGATTACTTACCCAGATGACCTTTAATATATTAATGTATTAATGTACACGTATGCTCTTGCATACAGCATTATCATAATGTATCATGCATTCTCATGATACCACATTCACTTTCGTTACTGGTGTTGTAGACGGGGTAGTTAAAAAACTATACCGCTGGTGGGGTTTGAACCCGCGGTTAGAGAGTCTCAAAACTCAAGACCGTCGCGTTAGCCACTTGAGACTCTCTGACCGCGGGTTCAAACCCCACCCGTGGTATGGTTTGTTTGCAATCGTGTCATTACGATTTCGTGAGTCACGGGGTAGCTATGTGATATCTATCATAAGCCATATGTCTGTTAGTGGCTCAGCCATGTTTGTGTATATAATCTAACACTCAGTATAATCCAGTGAGACTCAGTTTGCAGACCACACTTGTGTGGAACCCAACATTCACTCTCACTCTTGTATGAATCCAGACTCACAGTACGCGTATATGAAACTCTTACATGAAACTCGGCTGTCACAGCCCACGTTTGTAAACCCTAGTACCCACTACACCTTCATGACTCTCACTTCTGGCTCTTATCACCTACTCCTTTAAGCACCTGCACCTGCTACACCCAGCACTCACTACACCCAGCAAACGCTGCACCCAGCACTCACTATACCCACCTGTGAGGACGTGCACGGTAATGGAGTGTTCGAGGGAGTGTGCTGGACTACAGGTATAAACACCTGAGTCGTGAGGCTGAGCATTCATCACTACCAGCTGGCTCAGACTTCGACGACCCAGGTGAGTCTTCACCCACACCCTCAGCCCATCCTCCCGCACCATCTGTAGGCGACATATGCATGCGTTAGTGATAGATAAATATAAATAACGATGGTAGACATTAAACGGGTTAGATGCGAAAAAGTATCTATGCGAGTCAGATGCGATTGCATTTAGTGACACTCTACCGTTAAAAATTTTTACATGTACTGAATGGTAGCATCTATCTGAAGGAGACGGAGGCTCGAGCCTTCACCATGCCTTGTGCTGGAAGATCCATGTAACTCTTATGAGGCCATGAGAGTGAATAGTAAAGATGGGGAATGTATGGAATAAAGTAGGATAGAACATTAAAAAAATAGCATAGTGTAAACAAGGAGAGAAAGGAATAAGAAAGATTAAGTAACCCGACTACATTTGTTTGAGTTTTAAAGGAGTGGTTTTTGTCACATAGTCACGAATTATAGAATTAAACAAAGGGTTTGTAATACAATATATAATATATATATATATATTATAATATATATATATATATATATATTATATATATATATATATATATATATATATATAAATGCGTGCTAGATACGCCTGCCTTGCTACAGTTCTCTACGCACGTCATCACCTGGAGGACTCCTGGACAAAAATAAAACGGGTTCAATTTTATATACGCATTAAAAAAAGAAACTCTTTGCATTGTGAATTGACACACAGGACAGCGGGTTAAACCCATTTATATATGTTCAAGAACGAACTGTTGCAGCCACAGTATTGTGACTGTTCTTAACATTGATCTAGTTGGTTCCAAGTGGAGTACTGCGGAAGATAGTGAAGACAAGACACTGTGGAACGAGCTTTTATTCGACACTGTGGAGCAAGCTCTAACTGGAGCATTGTTTCATTCCCCATAGAACTTTATCGATACCTCACAACTTTATCCTGACCTGATAAAGCTTTACACAAAGCTAAGCGTTGTCGTAATAGAAATTTCTTCTTCTAAAGGTCCTGTTGCAGTAAATTTGCTTACACTACTGAGAGTATAATTTGTCTATGCCCCTCGGATATAGCTTAATTATGCCACTCATATACTTCTATAACTATATCTATGCCTTTGAGCATAGTCTGGCTGTATCTCTATGGTTATATTCATAAATTGAGCTACAATAGAATTTTTGATTAAACTGTGGTATCTCGAAGATTTTATAATATCAATTAAATAAAGGACGTAAATTTGATCTGAAGCTACTGTAAACATGATTTGATCTACGAAATATTCATGTGGAGATCTGAGACATTTTTAGGAAAGTGGGAAAACGTCAGCATGATATACGGAAGACTTACAGACTAAAACGCTTACACGACAACCGGAAAGTCTTACGATAATTTGATAATTACCGGGCATTGCCGTCCTTCACAATTATCACTGTCAGTTATGTGATAATTGTCACTACTTGCTGCCTCGCGTGACAGTAGTGATAACTGCCTCATAACTTGCAAAATACTGGAGGAAGAAGTTAGGCAACTTCCAAGACGCTGGAACAGTTAAGTAACTTACAAACGCTGGAGGTAGCAGTTAAATACAGACATTACAAGTTAACATATTGATGTCTTACCTTGATATCAGTAAAGGGCTCTTGATCACACTAAATGGAAAGCTTTTCCCTTTCATTGCGTCTCAGACGCTATATGACTCACACGGGTTTAGGGTTTCACCACAAACATGATAAAGTGCATGATGCCTTGAATAAACTATTTGTTCAATTATATTTGATTCGGGGGGAAGCGCTAAATCCGCAGAGGTTATATATAGCACCTAGCGTGAGGACGACTCATAAACAGTAGAGGGACCACAAGCCTGTTGAGGGGCACCTTGAACTTATATGACTAGGCTCAGTTAGACTCCTACTCCTTCAGGCATATACCTCACTTCAAACAGCATGATAGCATAACCCATTTATGTACTTTGAACAAATATTTGCTTTGTCTAGACAGAACGAGGATTAAGATTGCGGAAAACCATGAGATTAAAGATGGCACCGAGGCGCTTCAGGTATATATACTGCCTACTCGCACAGCTAAACTTGTACTAGTTAATATTTAAGATTTACAGCTGTGCATCACACAAAACAGCCATGGAATACTCGAGCCACCAAGTTTAAACATCATATTTCACACTTTGAAACCAGCAATTTAGTTTTTCCACGTGTGTAAACGGAGTGGTACCCACGTTAAGACTTTCCACGAGTGAAGCATTACCCCGAGTACACCAAGAAGCGCTTTTGTGATTATTCATGTGCGTACTGGCCAGAGCAAGTTTTAATCCTCTAGCTAAATTTTAATTACAGCTTAAAATCACATAGCTGAGTACCGCACTACCCTCTCCAGTATGCACTCTCGCAATATAATAAATTCTCTGAGTATAAATTATATGCCACAGTACTACACTCTTAATAACATGAACCAGTAACAACCAGAGGGGGAACCCAAATATAAATTTCTCTCTCTCTCTCTCTCTCACTATTGATGGATCCGTCGCAAGAGTATTATCCTCGCTAATATATTACACTGGGTCACCACGCCCTCCCTCCTTTAAACATGTGGGCGCTCTGGATGTGAAGGGTTCAGTGAACCTGTCAAGCCAACTGTTGTTACGACGTTACTGGACTGCTAATGTTGACGACGTCAGTGGGCTTCTGTGAGGTGCTCATGTCCCTGACGTTGGTAAACTGCTGTGTGGTGCTCATGTTCTAGCCATTACTGGGCTTCTGTGTGACCCTCATATTCTTAGGCGCTAATGAATTGATGTAAATTGCTTATGTTCCATTCTTAATACCTATCATTTATATATGTGCAGTTCAATACAAAAGCTACAAAAAAAGTAACCAACAGCTTTCATTTACACGAAATTTCAGGTCTTGGACTATCAAAGTGCCCTTGGGAATTGCTTATCGGGAGCTGCGTGTCGAAGACCAACAACAGATTGGGTTTGCAGGGCAAATTCCAGAGTTTATAGCCAATCCTCACTGGGTGCGACACTGGTTGCAATCGGCTGTAACTGTGATCACGATTGTGGTTTAATCTAAACTTTGGCGGTGTGTTGGGTATTAGGTTTAATTTAAACCTTCACTGTGCATCTATTTATGCCACCGCCGAGGAGAAAGTTATTGTAATTAAAATTACTAGAAGTTTAGCATATTCTGTATGTGTGTGTGTGTGCGTGTGTGTGATTGTGTGTGTGTGTTTGTGATTGTGTGTGTGTGAGTGTGTGTGTGTGTTTGTGTGCGCGTGACTATCTGTTGAAAGCAGGAGTATAATGCTACATAGTTATGGTAAGAAAATGCGTCACATGTATATACTCTGAGACATACATATTGTGTATATGACTGTGCATTGATTGCACGAACTCTGTCATGCAGTAAGACATGTGTATTCTAGGAAGTCTTAGACTGCACATTAATGGCAAGAACATAAAATGCACATAATACGTATTCACATAATAAAATGCACATAATGCGTATTCATCTAAGAAAATCTTTCATATTTCAAGATGATCCAACATCGTCACGAAACTAGTTCAACTCAAACTTTTTTTCTCTCGCCAAAATAGACGTTTAACTTCCCTAAGAAAAGTGCAAAGTTTCTCAATTTTCTCTCCAAACTTCTAAAAGGATTTAGTGTTTCGTCGGAGATCCATGAGAGGCTTTGATGTATACGAAACATTCTTCACTTTATTCCCGCATTACAAGCCGATATCCGCAAATGAAATGCGTGAAACGAATACTGGATAGCGGCAGTGCCACTCACTGCCCCTTTACAGTATGTTGGTATTGTTAAGATGAGAAACCACCTAGATATTGCCAAATATGAGAAACAGTTCCGGGTAATTCTTGCTTGAAGCAAGAATGGCCCGTAGTGAGAAAGGTGGTTTATATTATGTAAGGCAGCAGTCGGCCAAAAGGAAAAAAGCATATCGATGATGGTGCCCTAAGTAATCATCAGGGCAATACATCGTGGCCTAGCTGGCCACCAGCGGAGGCACATCGTGGCCTGGCTAGCCACCATTGTAAAACACATCGTGGCCTGACTGACAACAGTTGGCCACCCGGTCGATTGTCGAGCATAATAACGTGTGGTAAACAATAATTTGTTTCTGTCGTCCATTAGACTCAGTCACCAACCTCCTTCTGTTTACTACCCAGGGGTGAAGCAGTAGGTGTGGAAAGCCAATAATAGCAGGGGTGGGAAACAGGCGTGGGTGAGGAGACAGGTGTTGGAAGCAGACGTGGGGGAGATGGCAGGGGTTGGAATCAGGCGTGGGTGAAAGGGCAGGTGTTGGAAGCACTCGTGATGTAGGAGGCAGCAGGTATTGCATACAGACGTGAGGGAGTCTAAGTATATCGTGAGAGGTGAACCAGGTAGAAGGAAAAACAGCCACAGGTAGGTCAACATGTAATTACAAACAGGCATGATCATTTATCCTATTATTTGTAGCAGCTTAAAAAACCTTACCTGATGAGTTTCACCTAATTTTGTTTGCAACTATTAAGCAAATACCAATGTGGAAGAGAAAATTCCCGGAAATAGGAAATTACTTCTGAGAAAATAAAACAAAGTTAAGAAGAGTGTAAGTGTCATTTTTCGGGCTATAAATTAGGCCATCTTCAGCTCCGAAATATACAATAATCCTATCTACTACTTCATCATTTTCTCCACAAGAGTTAATCTGTATCATTTTCTAGATGCGGGTTCGATTTTGTTATTGAACAGTGTTTATTATACAATTAAATCTGAATACGTTCAGTGTGAACATTAACGACAACAATACCTGCGTCTATTCCAGGATTACTCGTCTCTTGGGAATAAAATCTGACCTCATTGCACCAGATATTTTAATGAAAGAAGCGATTTATCTGGCCTGAAATATTGTGTAATCTCAGAGCGAAAATTGGGAAATTGTATTGCAAGAGCAGTTATTTTAGACCAGGACGACACTGTTCGTGCAGAATGTATTGTCAACCACGAGACAAAATATTAATCGTTGCAACTGTTATATACCTGTGACCGGTTTCAGTAGTTTTTCTACCCCGGTAGATCGGCCTGATCGACCATGATTTCCAGTTGACTGTCTGGTTAACTCGGGGATACCTTCTCCGAGTTATTGATGTAGAGGGAGGCAGGGATTGTAAAATTCTGGGATACCTTTCTTAGGTCACGGATGTAGAGAGGGCTGGGATTGTGTAATACAGGGATACTCGTACCTTTCTCAGATCACTGATGCAGATGGAGCTGGGTTTATATAATATAGGGATACTTTTATCGGATCATTAATATACAGGGAGACTGGGATTGTTGAATATGGGGATACCTTTCTTAAATAATTAAGGTAGTGGGATGAAAGCATTCACAATGACTTGGGCAAATATTTGTGTTGAGGATTTGCGTTTGAGAATGACCTACCTAGTATGGGTCAGTAGGCTTACTGCAGTGTTCATTCTTTCTTATGTTGCAGTAGCACACAGGACTTATGTGTCGTCCCATCCTGACTGATTTGATACCTATCAGGAAGTCATGGGTCACTTTTCTCCTGAAAGCTCAGCTCCCCAAGGCACATTCCTGGCACCTCTGCTGTTTCTCATCCTCATAGTAGATATAGATAAAAATTCCTGTCACAGTTTCGTATCATCATTTGCAGATGACACTAAAATAAGCATGAAAGTCACTACGGCAGAAGACACTGAAAAATAGCAGGAAGCTATAAGCAGTGTTTGCCAGTGGGCAGTGGAGAACAACTGACGTTCATTGGTGATAAGTTCCAGCTGCTTAGGTATGGAAAGAATGAAGAACTCAAGAAGAATCTGTATACAAACCTCAAGGGAATCGTCGAATAGAACGAAAGGAACAAGTGAAAGACTTAGGAATAATTATGTCAGCTGACCTTTCTTTCCAAGAACCCAATTTGACAAAGTTTACAATAGCCAGGAGGATTACGGGGTAGGTATTCAGAACCTTCAAAACAAGGGAAATAATGCCAGAGGTGACACTTTCAAATCGCTAGTGTTCCCTCATTTGGACTATTGCTCAGTTTTGACGGCCCCGTTCAGGGCAGGAGAAATATCAAACCTGGAACAAATACAGAGATCGTTTACGGCCCGCATAGAGCCAATAAATTACTGGGAACTTCATAAAGCCTTAAATACGTACTCACTGGAGCAGAGGAGAAAGAGCTACATGATAATATATAGCTATGAAGTACTTGAGGGCCTGGTTCCAAACCTGCGGCCCTATATTACTCAACATCTTACCAGAAGATATCAGAAACACTGCTGGAATAAGTGTAGAAGTCTTCAAGAGGAAACTGAACAAGTATCTTCACCAGGTGCCAGATCATCCAGGCTGTGATGGATATGTGGGACAGCGGCCTCCAGTAACAAAAGCCTTGTTGACCAGGCTAGCACCAGACGAACCTGGCCCATGGCCGGGCTCCGGGAGTACAAAGACTCGATAATCATCAAATGAATCAAAGGTAAAGGTACGTATTGTCCCCGTCTGAGCGTCGCTGCATCTGCCACCAGCAACACAGGTTTCTGGTAATAACTTTAATATTTTATTTCCTTACACATGGCTCAGATTAATGTAGGATAATCACAGCAGAGGAGCCCGTCAGGCATTATATTGTTATTTGATTACCGCGACCCACGACCACCCGAGAAAATCATTGTAGTGTGACTCTGTGAGTTTCTCCAGTTAGTCTCTTGGATTAATATGAAAACATTGCCTAAGATTATATTGTTGCTAGAAGTAGTAACAAAGCCACTTTCTCACTATCCCGTCACCATGACGCCTATCCCGTCACCATGACGCCTATCCCGTCACCATGACGCCTATGCCATCACCTTGACGCCTATCACATCACCATGACACCTAACCCATCACTACGATGCCTATCCCGTCACCATGTTGTTTATCCCGCCACTATCCCGTCACTATGACATCTACCCCGTCACCAAGACGCCTATTCCACCACTATCCTGTCACTATGTTGTCTATCCCGCCGCTATCCCGTCACCATGACGCCTACCCTGTCACTAAGACGCTATTCCGCCAGTATCCCTTCACTATGTTGTGTATTCCGCCACTATCCCGTCACCATGACGCCTCGCTGGGAACCTCCAGCATTTATATGCCGTAACACAAGCAACTTGGGCGTCCAGCCTCGCCTGATAACAGAATGACCGAAATAAAAGTGAGTCTCCCTCTCTTAAACGGGACATTACCAAACCAGTTTGGATTTTACGATAAACTGGTGAGCCTATATAGGCCTTACTGATAACTTTCGCCCGAAGTGAACGGATTATGTGTTTTCAGCCGTCAGTATACTTTCGAAGTCTTAGAGCACTGCATGGAAGTCATTCAATTATTCATGATGGGTGCCATGATGCTGGTGTTGTGCTCATGGTTAAGATAAGATTTTGTTCCGATTTTTAACCCCGAAGGGTAAGCCACCCAGGATAACTCAAGAAAGTCAGTGCCTCATCGAAGACTGCCTATTTTATTACCATTGGGGTCCCCTCAGAATGCGACCCACAACAGTCAACTAACATCCAGGTACCTACTTACTTGCTAGGTGAACGGGGACAGCAGGTGTAAGGAAGCACGCTCAATGCTTCCACCCTTGCCGGGGGATCGAACCACGGACACTCAGCGTGAGAAGCGAGTGTGTTGCTTACCAGGCCACGGTACACCTTCGAGAAATTCTGAAGTGACGGTATACAGTACCGACCAGTTGATAAATAAAGCCCATGGGCAACACTGGGGTATCTTTATTGCTGGGTCATGTTCCCTGTCATACTCCCCTTCGTCACATTCCTTCCCATGTGATGGAATGTTGTGGCTAACGCGACGGTCTGGAGTTTTGAGACTCTCTGACCGCGGGTTCAAATCCTGCCCGTGGTATGGTTTGTTTGCAATCGTGTCATTACGATTTCGTGAGTCATGGTTCTTGGAACTTTTACATGGAATAGAGTAGCAGCACATTGCTGATGTATCCAGTTTTGATATAAAAAGGGATCAATTATACCTTTGATATACCTTTGATGAGTTCCTAGAGTTTTTCCACTCCCGGAGCCCGGTCATGGGCCAGGCTTGTCTGGTGCTTGCCTGGTCAACCAAGCTGTTGCTGTTGGTGGCCCGCTAACCCACACATCCATCACATTATTATGCAATACTACTACTACTACTACTACTACTACTACTACTACTACTACTACTACTACTACTACTACTACTACTACTACTAATAATAATAATAATAATAATAATAATACCTATAGATTTAAATTATATTACACAGGGAGTCTCTCGCTCCCTTCAAGAAGATGCCAAACCATGACTTGCGACCCTCATGCGGCTCCTTTGCTGCAAACTAGCCGCATGCGGGTCTCAAGCGATGGTTGTATCCACTACGGTACATAGACGTATATGGCTGTTGTTCAGACATTGAAATGTGACTTTTAATCACGTTTGCGGGGAAGCGCTAAACCCTTTCGAGTCATCCAGCGCCTGAGAAATTGGAGGTAATCAAGTTTTATCCGAGGAAGCGGAGGGGTAGCTCCAGTTCCATGGCTCGAGATCAATTCAGTAATATCAACGTCGCTGTTATGATATCACTTTGCGATACCATTTGCAATGATAACCTGCTCACTGTGGTACCAATCCTATGGCGGTGGTACCAGTGCAGTGGCGTTGGTATTTACTTCGCAGTACACCTGCTGTACCCCTCTCCTCGTGGCACCAATGGAAGATAGTGACACTCACCTAATATAACCATTGGTACGATGGTGATACTCGACTCCGGGATGCCATTCTTGTACTCACCCTCTCCTTGTGGTACCAGTGGAGGTAATCTGGAGGCTCTGGGGAGTAGGGTACCACACACGTCAGGTTGATGGGAGAGCCAATACCAACGTGGATGTCAGGTGCTCTCAGGATCTTAGCCTGGGGCTCTGTACGGGAAACAGAGAGGTATCAGTGGAGGTATACACCGGTAACAGAGAGGCATCAGTGGAGATATGCACGCGTAACGGAGAGGCATTATTGGGAGTATATACGGTAGAAAGAGAGGCATTTAATGGGGATATATACGAAAAACGAGAAGCATTGTGATTCACGACATCGTGGTGTTTGATCCCCTGGAGAGTGAGTCGTAAAACCCACCAGGGTTTCAAACCCCACCCGTTCCGTGGATTGAGAAGCATTAGTTGGAAGTTGCACTTAGCAACGAAAGGGAGACTAAAAAACAACTACTGGGAAACAGGAAGCAACTGAGAGGCATTAGAGGGAAGCTATACTAGGTAACGAAAGGAAGGCACAAGGAGCAACAGAGAGATATTAGTGGGATAATATATACTGAAAACGAAAACCATTAGTAGGAATATGTGTTAGGTAACGAAAGAGAGATACACAGGGCAACTGAGGTGGCTTTAGTGGGAAGATGTACTTGGTAACGAAAGGGAGATACGAGGAACAACGAAGGGGTCATTAATAGGGATATATACGGAGCAACAAAGAGACAATACCGAAACTGTTTATAGGACAATAGAGGAACATCACTGGGGTTCTGAGTAAGGCATCAGAGGGTCATTAATATTTTTGAAAAAGCATGAACGGGGTATAATTAATCATTATGACCATGGGAAGGGTGTTGATATTTTAATGCCACAGTTAGGTACACGGATATATTTTACCAAATACTTGAATACTTCCAGCAGGTACTGGAGTTTCTTCAATACGACTGGAGTTGTTTTCTAACACACGTTGACATTCCAGCAGGTACTGGAGTTTCTTAAATACGACTGGAGTGTTACTTACGCAGGATATGATGTTTCAAAAGTTACATAAGTTTCTTAAACACAACTGGAGTGCCTTTTCACACAGGATATAACATTTCACCAGGACTGGAGGGTTAATAACAGGGCATCGGAGGGTTAATAACAACATTCTGTATAGGGCTATGCAGAGGAAGTAGGTTTGTGTGCAAGGGAGGAATATATAAGAGAAAGTCCTTTACTGGTATATATATCCTGCGAGAGGTATATACAGTGTATATACCCTGAAAACAAGACGTACTTTTTAGTGCAGATATAGTGTGAGAGATATAAATTTCTCAGTGTGTAAGAGATAGGCATCTATCGATATATATACAAACAGTGTGGACGGATATGCATCAAAGTTTCTACTCTGTGACAGGGAGGGGATATGCACCATTCGGTGTATATACCTTGCAACTGTGCACTCTGCAAATTTTGGTTAAATAAATGGTTACAACTATGACCATAATTTTTAAAGGGGTGGACCAGTAAGCCAGCTGAAGGCCTCGGTCAGATGACCAAAAGCTGCAACGGTGGGTCATCATATGACTAAGACCCGCGTCAGGTAACACTTGTCCTGCTTCCTGACGAACCTTACCTAACCTAACCTAACCTAATCTGCACGTTTTATTTATTGCTTGTAATTCTGCTAATTAAATGAGACCAGCACTATAAATACTAAACTAATTCTTCGTTCGCATCAAGATGAAAGGGAAAAAAATTCTTATATACAGAATTTTAATTTTTTAGTGATGTTAAATAAAAAAAAATGTAGATGACACTGTGTCAGTGTTGGAGATCACACGGGGTCAGTGTTGCAGACCACACAGGGTCAGTGTTGGAGATCACACGGGGTCAGTGTTGTAGACCACACAGGGTCAGTGTTGTAGACCACACAGGGTCAGTGTTGAAGATCACACAGGGTCAGTGTTGTAGACCACACAGGGTCAGTGTTGCAGACCACACAGGGTCAGTGTTGTAGACCACACAGGGTCAGTGTTGTAGACCACACAGGGTCAGTGTTGCAGACCACACAGGGTCAGTGTTGTAGACCACACAGGGTCAGTGTTGTAGACCACACAGGGTCAGTGTTGTAGACCACACAGGGTCAGTGTTGGAGATCACACGGGGTCAGTGTTGTAGACCACACAGGGTCAGTGTTGGAGATCACACGGGGTCAGTGTTGGAGATCACACGAGGTCAGTGTTGTAGACCACACAGGGTCAGTGTTGCAGATCACACAGGGTCAGTGTTGTAGACCACACAGGGTCAGTGTTGCAGATCACACAGGGTCAGTGTTGGAGATCACACGGGGTCAGTGTTGTAGACCACACAGGGTCAGTGTTGCAGATCACACAGGGTCAGTGTTGCAGATCACACAGGGTCAGTGTTGCAGATCACACAGGGTCAGTGTTGGAGATCACACGGGGTCAGTGTTGTAGATCACCCGGGGTCAATGTTGCAGACCACACAGGGTCAGTGTTGTAGATCACACGGGGTCAGTGTTGCAGATCACATGGGGTCAGTGTTGCAGACCACACAGGGTCAGTGTTGGAGATCACACGGGGTCAGTGTTGTAGATCACACGGAGTCAGTATTGCAGACCACACAGGGTCAGTGTTGTAGATCACACGGGGTCAGTGTTGCAGATCACATGGGGTCAGTGTTGCAGACCACACAGGGTCAGTGTTGGAGATCACACGGGGTCAGTGTTGTAGATCACACGGAGTCAGTGTTGCAGACCACACAGGGTCAGTGTTGGAGATCACACGGGGTCAGTGTTGCAGACCACACAGGGTCAGTGTTGTAGGTCACACGGGGTCAGTGTTGCAGATAACATGGGGTCACTGTTGCAGACAACACAGGGTCAGTGTTGTATATCACACGGGGTCAGTGTTGCAGATCACATGGGGTCAGTGTTGTAGATCACACGGAGTCAGTGTTGGAGATCACACGGGGTCAGTGTTGTATATCACACTGGGTCAATATTGGAGATCACACGGGGTCAGTGTTGCAGACCACACGTGGTCAGTGTTGCAGATCACACGGGGTCAGTGTTGCAGATCACAACGGTATGACCATCAGTGTTGATTACTCATAATTGCAACTTCAGCTTTAATCCTGTTCAGTAGGTTCTGATCCCACCTCCAACAGCTGATCCTGTTTATCTGGTCTGCCTAGATAACTTGGCACTGTTAAGCTGAGCTGTTGACACTGTTGCCCTCACATGCTGTCACTGCCGGACATACGTATTGTCACTGCCACCATTATTAGTGTTGTTACTGCCACCGTTATTACTGTTGTTTCCGTCACCGTTATTACTGTTGTCATTGCCGCTCGTATCACTGTTATCACTGCCGCTCGTATCACTGTTGTCACTGGTGCCCTTTCACTCTACAATGTACTGGTTCCACCTATTCATTTATTTATTTCATTTCCATTTCTGTTCTCCTTTGCCATCAGTTCTCTCCTTCATCACCCTTCATTCCTTATTCACTGGTCATCATCCTGATAATTGTCACCATAATCGTACTGGCTAGGCCTGGGGACACTTGGTCCCGAAGATGAGGGAATACTTGTACCTCCTCCCATGGGAGACTTAGGTCTCGAGATACTCCCCAGATAGGGAGCCAAGGCCGGGTCACCACTACTTGGAAAAGACCCGGGCCGGGAGAGTACCGGCGAATAAGAAAAAAAAACCATAATCGTCATCAATCTTCCATTCCCATCTCAGACTTCAGTGACGTTCCTCACTGTGAACTCCAATCCTTACCCATTCAGACCAATCCTCGTTCCACGGCGTCCGTATTCCCAGCGTCATCTTCTGAACGTTCCCGGCCATTAGGGAAGAAAATATTTTGTCTTTGTTTTAGGTAAGGTCAGAGAGATTAGATTGATGTCGCTGAGGAGGAGGAAAGGAAGGGATTGATGAGACAATTCGAGCGGGATGGGGGTGGGGGAGAGGGAGGAAGACAACAGGGTAAACTCTTAATCTGCTAGATAAAGTCTATTCTTTGTCGTTCCAGAAAGTCTACTAGATAAAGGTCGGCCCCTTGTCGTTTCGAAATGTCTACTGGATCATGACCTTTGTCGTTCCAGATAATCTACGAGATAAAATCTACCATTTGTTTGTCCAAAATGTCTACTAGATAAAGATATGCCCCTTGTCGTTCCAGAAAATCTATTAGGTAAAGGTCCGCCCCGAGTCGTTTCAAAATATCTACTAGAAAAAAGTTGGAAAAAGCCTACTCTGTTAGACATACTTGGTCTACCGCAGGCCTATTCTCTGAGGTCTTTGCCCTGCCTATTTTCATCATCAAATTTTGTTGAGAGTAAGAAGCAGTTCTGGAATGATTTGAAAGAGCTGAGAAAACCTGGGAAGGAGAGAGAGAGAGAGAGAGAGAGAGAGAGAGAGAGAGAGAGAGAGAGAGAGAGAGAGAGAAGAGAGAGAGAGAGAGGGGGAGAGAGAGAGAGAAGGAGAGAGAGGAGAGAGAGGAGAGGAGAGAGAGGAGAGAGAGAGAGAGATAGCTGAGATGTTAGATGTGCAGCATATACTTATATACCGACAACAGTGAGGTGTGGGCGGCTATGGAGACAGGAACGTGTAGGAAGGATGGGCGGCACTTACCGACCACAGTGAGGTGCACTGTGCGGGCGGTGGGCGGCCTGGAGGATACCTGGCAGTCGTACTGGCCTGAGTCGCGGGGACTGGCGTACTGGAGACGTAGTGTCCAGTCCCCTTACCAGTCTGGGGTACTGCCTCAAACCTGGAGTCGCTAGTATAGGTCACCGAGCCTACGGAGAGGATGTGCAGGTCACGGTGCCTGATCCACGACACCTGTCGAAGAGAATAAAGGTCTAAAGTGAAGGTCACAGTACCCGATACACGACACCTGTGGTAGACAACACGGATGCAAACCATAGGTCCTGGTCCGCACCAACTGTGACCGACACAGGTCACAGCATGAAGTGCAGGTCCTGATTGAGCTAAACATCATTCCAATCGTAAAACTAAACTCGTTCGGTTAAATATAAACAATTCTGTCGGTATTAATGACATTAAATTGTGAATCAACAGAGAGATGGACCAGGGCTCGAGCCGAGGTCTCGCGGGTGACAGGCTCTACGGTGTACCATCCTGCCTCTGGTCTACAAATTTCCTGGTGCATCATAGATCATGTCACTCAACGGACCTCGGGTTGACCCCCTTCCTGTCAGTTTTTTACTGGAGACAAACTGTACAAAATATCGACACAAGTAATAAGTAGACTCAAATGCAGTATAATGCGATCCTTTATGGGCGAAACGTTGTCAATAAAGTATCGGATTATACTTCATTTATGTCTACTTTTCAAATGTTCTTTTTATTCATCACCTGTTATTCATTTGAGCTTAAATTGGATTCAAAGATAGAAAAGATAGTATCAAGATATTATCAAGACTATCAAGGTAGCAAATATCTTGAAACTCCACTAAGGCCGTAATATTCGACACCGTAAAACTCGCTCTTATCTCCTTATTGCGCCAGAGGTAGATAAAGATAATGAAATTTTTTCTTAAATATGAATAACATTATCATATATATTTAGTAATAAATATGGACCAGGTAAGAAATTTTTGCTGAGCCAGAGCTGCACAGCGTCGTGTATTGCGAACCTGCATGACTAAGGGGAGAACCTGCAGGACTAAGGGGAGAACATGAATGACTAAGGAGAGAACCTGCATGACTAAGGGGAGAACCTGCATGACTAAGGGGAGAACCTGCATGACTAAGGGGAGAACCTGCAGGACTAAGGGGAGAACCTGCATGATTAAGGGGAGAACCTGCAGGACTAAGGGGAGAACCTGCATGACTAAGGGGAGAACCTGCATGACTAAGGGGAGGAACCTGCAGGACTAAGGGGAGAACCTGCATGATTAAGGGGAGAACCTGCATGACTAAGGGGAGAACCTGCAGGACTAAGGGGAGAACCTGCATGACTAAGGGGAGAACCTGCATGACTAAGGGGAGAACCTGCAGGACTAAGGGGAGAACCTGCATGACTAAGGGGAGAACCTGCATGACTAAGGGGAGGACCTGCATGACTAAGGGGAGAACCTGCATGACTAAGGGGAGAACCTGCATGACTAAGGGGAGAACCTGCATGACTAAGGGGAGAACCTGCATGACTAAGGGGAGAACCTGCATGACTAAGGGGAGAACCTGCATGACTAAGGGGAGAACCTGCAGGACTAAGGGGAGAACCTGCATGACTAAGGGGAGAACCTGAAGGACTAAGGGGAGAACCTGCATGACTAAGGGGAGAACCTGCAGGACTAAGGGGAGAACCTGCAGGACTAAGGGGAGAACCTGCAGGACTAAGGGGAGAACCTGCATGACTAAGGGGAGAACCTGCAGGACTAAGGGGAGAACCTGCATGACTAAGGGGAGAACCTGAATGACTAAGGAGAGAACCTGCATGACTAAGGGGAGAACCTGCATGACTAAGGGGAGAACCTGCATGACTAAGGGGAGAACCTGCATGACTAAGGGGAGAACCTGCATGACTAAGGGGAGAACCTGCATGACTAAGGGGAGAACCTGCAGGACTAAGGGGAGAACCTGCATGGACTAAGGGGAGAACCTGCATGACTAAGGGGAGAACCTCATGACTAAGGGGAGAACCTGCATGACGAAGGGGAGAACATGCATGGACTAAGGGGAGAACCTGCATGACTAAGGGGAGAACCTGCATGACTAAGGGGAGAACCTGCATGACTAAGGGGAGAACCTGCATGACTAAGGGGAGAACCTGCATGACTAAGGGGAGAACCTGCATATCTAAGGGGAGAACCTGAATGACTAAGGGGAGAACCTGAATGACTAAGGGGAGAACCTGCATGACTAAGGGGAGAACCTGCATGACTAAGGGGAGAGCCTGCATGGCTGAGGGACGAGCCTTCATGACTAAGGGGCGAGCCTTCATGACTAAGGGGCGAGCCTTCATGACTATGGGGGAAGCCTTCATGTCTAAGGGGTGAGCCTTCATGACTAAGGGGCGAGCCTTCATGACTATGGGGGAAGCCTTCATGTCTAAGGGTTGAGCCTTCATGACTAAGGGGGAGCCTTCATGACTATGGGGGAGCCTTCATGACTACGGGGGAAGCCTTCATGTCTAAGGGGTGAGCCTTCATGACTAAGGGGGAGCCTTCATGACTATGGGGGAGCCTTCATGACTAAGGGGCGAGCCTTCATGACTAAGGGGGAACCTTCATGACTAAGGGGGAGCCTTCATGACTATGGGGGAGCCTTCATGACTAAGGGGCGAGCCTTCATGACTAAGGGACGAGCCTTCATGACTAAGGGACGAGCCTTCATGACTAAGGGGGAGCCTTCATGACTATGGGGGAGCCTTCATGACTAAGGGGCGAGCCTTCATGACTAAGGGACAAGCCTTCATGACTAAGTGGCGAGCCTTCATGACTATGGGGGAAGCCTTCATGACTAAGGGGCGAGCCTTCATGACTAAGGGACGAGCCTTCATGACTAAGGGGTGAGCCTTCATGACTAAGGGGGAGCCTTCATGAATATGGGGGAGCCTTCATGACTAAGGGGCGAGCCTTCATGACTAAGGGACGAGCCTTCATGTCTAAGGGGTGAGCCTTCATGACTAAGGGGGAGCCTTCATGACTATGGGGGAGCCTTCATGACTAAGGGGCGAGCCTTCATGACTAATTGGCGAGCCTTCATGACTAAGGAACGAGCCTTCATAACTAAGGGACGAGCCTTCATGACTGAGGAACGAGCCTTCATAACTAAGGGACGAGCCTTCATGACTAAGGAACGAGCCTTCATAACTAAGGAACGAGCCTTTATGACTAAGGGGCGAGCCTTCATGACTAAGGGACGAGCCTTCATGACTAAGGGACGAGCCTTCATGACTAAGGGGCGAGCCTTCATGACTAAGGGACGAGCCTTCATGAATAAGGGGCAAGCCTTCATGACTAAGAGGCGAGCCTTCATGACTAAAGGGCGAGCCTTCATGACTAAGGGACGAGCCTTCATGACTAAGGGGCGAGCCTTCATGACTAAGGAACGAGCCTTCATGACTAAGGAACGGGTCTTCATGACTAAGGGGGTCTGTAAGGGCGAGCCTTCATGACTAAGGACGAGCCTTCATGACTAAGGACGGCCTTCATGACTAAGGCGAGCCTTCATGACTAAGGAACGAGCCTTCATGACTAAGGGGCGAGCCTTCATGACTAAGGAACGAGCCTTCATGACTAAGGAACGAGCCCTCATGACTAAGGAACGAGTTTTCATGAATAAGGGGCGAGCCTTCTTGACTAAGGAACGAGTCTTCATGACTAAGGGGCGAGCCTTCATGACTAAGGAACGAGCCTTCATCACTAAGGAGCGAGCCTTCATGACTAAGGGACGAGCCTTCATGACTAAGGAACGAGCCTTCATGACTAAGGGGCGAGCCTTCATGACTAAGGAACGAGCCTTCATGACTAAGAGACGAGCCTTCATGACTAAGGAACGAGCCTTCATGACTAAGGGGCGAGCCTTCATGACTAAGGAACGAGCCTTCATGACTTAGGAACGAGCCTTCATGACTAAGGAACGAGTCTTCATGACTAAGGGGCGAGCCTTCATGACTTAGGAACGAGCCTTCATGACTAAGGAACGAGTCTTCATGACTAAGGGGCGAGCCTTCATGACTAAGGAACGAGTCTTCATGACTAATGGGCGAGCCTTCATGACTAAGGAACGAGCCTTCATGACTAAGGGGCGAGCCTTCATGACTAAGGGGCGAGCCTTCATGACTAAGGGGCGAGCCTTCATGACTAAGGGACGAGCCTTCATGACTAAGGAACGAGCCTTCATGACTAAGGAACGAGCCTTCATGACTAAGGGGCGAGCCTTCATGACTAAGGAACGAGCCTTCATGACTAAGGAACGAGCCTTCATGACTAAGGAACGAGTCTTCATGACTAAGGGGCGAGCCTTCATGACTAAGGGGCGAGCCTTCATGACTAAGGAACGAGCCTTCATACCTAAGGGGCGAGCCTTCATGACTAAGGGGCGAGCCTTCATGATTAAGGAACGAGCCTTCATAACTAAGGGGCGAGCCTTCATAACTAAGGGGCGAGCCTTCATAACTAAGGAACGAGCCTTCATAACTAAGGGGCGAGCCTTCATAACTAAGGGGCGAGCCTTCATGACTAAGGGGCGAGCCTTCATGACTAAGGAACGAGCCTTCATAACTAAGGGGCGAGCGTTCATGACTAAGGGGCGAGCCTTCATGACTAAGGAACGAGCCTTCATAACTAAGGGGCGAGCCTTCATAACTAAGGGGCGAGCCTTCATGACTAAGGGGCGAGCCTTCATGACTAAGGAACGAGCCTTCATAACTAAGGGGCGAGCCTTCATGACTAAGGGGCGAGCCTTCATGACTAAGGAACGAGCCTTCATAACTAAGGGGCGAGCCTTCATAACTAAGGGGCGAGCCTTCATGACTAAGAGGCGAGCCTTCATGACTAAGGAACTAGCCTTCATAACTAAGGGGCGAGCCTTCATAACTAAGGGGCGGGCCTTCATTACTAAGGAACGAGCCTTCATAACTAAGGGGCGAGCCTTCATAACTAAGGGGCGAGCCTTCATGACTAAGGGGCGAGCCTTCATGACTAAGGAACGAGCCTTCATAACTAAGGGGCGAGCCTTCATAACTAAGGAACGAGCCTTCATAACTAAGGGGCGAGCCTTCATAACTAAGGGGCGAGCCTTCATGACTAAGGGGCGAGCCTTCATGACTAAGGAACGAGCCTTCATAACTAAGGGGCGAGCCTTCATGA